GCATCTCACTATTCGTCATTTTATAGAACAAAAAGTAAATGGCATATCCATTCGCTAAAATCGTTGATCTGTTCGACCTTCCCATAAGGTGTCGTGCCACCTTTCCCTCTCCCTACTCGAAACCCTTGGATTGATTTTGACTCCAAATCGAGAAGACTCAACTCGCTCTCTCAAATTAGATTGTAAAACCCAATCTCTCTCACCCAACTCAGATCGCCCAAACCTAGCCCCATTCATGCCAAAACTTGAAGATCCAATCCATATATGGCTGTAATTGGCTCTAATCTTGCTGTAAGTTCAAGGCCCAACCCAAACATCATAAAAATCAGTCTCAATCACATCAAAATCGCAAAACCCAAACCTAGGGCCGCCGGAATTTCGGGACCCAACCCTAATTTCGCTGGAATCTGCCCAAATCGGGCCAAACTTGCGTGACCCAGTCCGAATTCGGCCGGAATTAGCCTCAGAAGCACCGGAATCGCGACACCCGGTCCAAATCCGGCCGGAATCACCTTCGAATGCACCGGGATCGTAAAACCCAGCCCCATCTACGCTGGATCCCGTCGCGAATCTGCTGCCGTTCACTTCAGATCTAGTTGATCTAGTTCCGGGTCGTGAAAAATCGCTCTAAACAATTCGCATCTCCACATGTGTCCCACGCTGACGTGAATCGCCCATCTCAGGTCGCATCTCTGGCGTTGTTCGCCGACGTTGGATTTGCAGACCAGTTCGCATCAGCCAAGGGCCGTCGTTCTTCTCACATCTGAACGTCTCAGCACCAAATCACGACAAATGGCTCCAATCTTCGTCAATCTCGCTCTATTCCGGATCTGGCCATCTTCCTTCCGTCGTCGCTCGCCGGCTCAATTCGTACGGTCGGCGACTCTGGTTCTCGAAACCCCACGATTCCAAACTCTTCTCACCTTTTTTTTGTATTTTTTGTAATTTTTTTTCAACCAGTTTTTTTTTTTTTTTTTGTCAGAATCGATTGCTCTGATACTAAATTGTTAGGTACCTAGGTTTTCCACAGCCAAACATACACATCAATCCCGAAATTGACAAGGAATTGGATAGAAATAAGGGAATTCTTTTATTGAAAACCACTAGCCAATCCCCAATTACACTGCCAAACACTACTAAACGGAAAAGTAAAGGATAGAACGGAGAATTCGAGT